CTAGGCCCGAAACGTCAGCTTTCCTGCTCCTCTGATGCTGCTTGGCCCGCTGTGTTCATGCAGCTCTACACCTTATTATCTCAGATTCTCCAGCATCTGCAGTTCCTACTACGTCGGAAGTATGTTGTGGGAGAACGAGGCAATCCTCCCTAACAAGGAAAGTCAGGGCGGCTCTCTTGCAACGCGGTGCTAGTGTCCCTCTTGGACCGAGAGGCCTGGGTTCAATTTCCACCTGTTGCAGGCCCGTGTAATAGTATCTCTGAACATGTTGATTATGAAAAACAAGGAAAGTCAAGGGAAGTTTGGCTGACTGCAGAAGGCAGAGGTTGGGGACAAACGGGTCTTTAACCTGATGGTAACGACTGACGAAGAAGAATCCGCAGAAGTCAGTGTTGAGACCTCAACCATTCACATTATACATTAATGGTCTGAATGAAGGAATTGAGTGGCATTGGGCAACGGCGTGGCAGATGAAATAAAAATGTGAGATAGTGTGAGGTTTAGCTCTTTGGCTGGAAGACTAGAGGCATGGACTATTTTCTAAGTAGGGAAAGACTTTGGAACTGTGAAGCACAAAGGGAATTAGGAGTCCTAGTTTAAGCTTCTCTGAAAGTTAACATGTATGTTCAGTTGATAGTTAGAAAGGCAAATGTGATGTTAGGATTCATTTCAAGAGAGCTAGATAGAATAGCAGAGACATACAGCTGAGGCTGTACAAGGCTCTGGTCAGACTGTGTTAGGGATATTATGAGCATTTTTGGGACTAGTATCTAAGGAAGGATGTGTTGGCATTGGATATTTACAGGAATGATCCCGGTGATGTAGGGCTTGTCATATGTGGAGCTGTTATAGAGTCATATAGAGTTGTTTACTTGTACAGCACTGAAACAGACTCTTTTTTTTCCAAGTTGTCCATGCAGACCAGATATCCTAAATTAATCTAGGCCCATTTGCCAGCATTTAGCCCACACCCCTCTAAAACCTTCCTAGTCATATACCCACTCAGTGCCTTTTAAATGTTGTAATTTTACCAGCCTCCACCCCTTCCTCTGGCAGTTCATTCCATGTTTGTACCACCCTCTGTGTGGAAAAGCTGCCCCTTAAGTCCCTTCTTTATCTTTCCCCTCAATTCTTAAACCTATGTGCTCTAGTGTTGGACCCCCCCTAACCTGGGGAAAAGAACTTGAATATTCACCCTCTCCACCCCCTCTTGATTTTATAAACCTGTATAAGGTTACCTCTAAATCTCTGCTGTAGGGAGAATAGCTCCAGCCTATTCAGCCCTTCTCTATAGCCCAAGCCCTCCAGCTCCGGCAATATCCTCGTAAATCTTTTTTACACCTTTTCAAGTTTAACAGTATTCCAAAAGTGACCTAACCAATTTAGGACTCTGGGTACTTGACGTTTGGAAGGATGAGTGGAGAATCTTATTGAAACATAAATGATACTGAGAGGCCTGGACAGATAGGATGTGGATAAAAATTTTCTTTGTAGGAGAGACTAGAACCCAAGGGTACAGCCTCAGTGTGCAATAAGGACATGTTATATCTGAGAGAACGTGGACATCTTCAGCTAGAGGGAACTGATTGTCTGATTGAGTGACAAATAAACTCCATGAGAACCTCACTTTTTGGAGTTGAGAATGGAAGCTGTATAAGGCTCTGGTCAGACTACATTTGGAATATTGTGAGCAGTTTTGTGCCCCAATTCTAAGGAATGATGTGTTGGCATTGGAGGTTTACAAGAATAATCCCAGTGATGAAGGGCTTATCATACGAGGAGGACTTGCAGACATTGGGTCTGTGCTCAAAGGAGTTCAGAAGGATTAGTGAGAATCCCATTGAAACATACAGAATACAGGGAGGCCAGGATAGAGTGGATGTGGAGAAGATCTTTCCATGAGTAGGACAGACTGGAATCCGAGGGTACAGCATCAGAGTGAAAGAACAACACTTGCAGAACTGAGATATGGAGGAATTTCTTCAGCCTGAGCGTGGTAAATCTATTGAACTCTTTGCCGCAGAAGGCTGTGGATGCCGAGTCATTCAGTGTTTTTAAGATATACTGGTTCTTGATTTGTAAGGGTTTATGGGAAGAAGGGAGTAGAATGGAGTTGAGAAACAGATTAACTGAATGGTGGACCCGATATATTATTGCCTTATGATCTGCACACTCGGTTTCATTTGAAAATCAAAAATGGGGAAAGGCATAGCAGCAAAGTAATAAATTCATGGTCATTGTTTGAGATTGAACTTTTCAGAATGAACACTTCCCAACACCAATACGAACTGTCCCCCTCTCTGTGCACTGAGCATTACTTCAATCAGGCATCCACCAATAGCTCCCAGCCTGGATTAATATTCAGCATGGTCTTATTTTGTGGTCTGCACTCCTTTTCAGACAAGAGCATACTTTGCAGCAGAGATGGGTTGTGAAACAACAATCAGCTTTATTGAGACAAAGTCAGTAGAATTTTATGTGCTGTCAGGCAAATGTCAGTGATAAAGTCAGATACTTGGTTTACTTGGAACAAAAACAGAATTTGCTGGAAAAGCTCAGCAGGTCTAGCAGCATCTGTGAAGAAAACGTCAGAGTTAACGTTTCGGGTCTGGTAAGCCTTCCTCAGAACTTGGTTTTAATTAGGTTATACTGCTTGTATTGATAACTAAATAGCGGAGCACTAAAATGACTTCTCGTAGCTTTTGCAGTCTCCGTCTTCAAGCTCTTTTTCTCTTGGGTCGCCACTTTGTGATTCTGGTTGCTCTCCTCTGCATCAACATTTCTTGAAGTTTTTTTTAAAATCCTTGTTATTATCTGAATAACCTCGCCGCGTGCTCAGTTATGGCTCATATGAACAGCAGTCAGTTCACTTAACCACGTGGTGTTCTGCATATTCGTCGTTATTCTGTTTTCCTGGTCCCTCAGAGCTGCTACATCTGTTGTCATTTATTTCACTAACATTTCACTGTTCGCTAACAAAGCGGGTTCAAGAGTTATCTTTATCTTTCAGCTGCAGGAAGCATTTTCAAACCTGACTTAAAATCCCAGGATCTCCAGCTTGACATCTTTCCGATCTATTTTCTAAGGTTTGTTTATCTACTGTACTGCAAATGCAAGGTTCTAGTGACAACCTGTTAGCTTCTAATAATCAAATTAAATGTTAAAGCTTATCTTGCTGTCAACCTAGTAAAATTGCGCATGAAGCCAGTAAAAGTGGGAGCTGGACCTGAGAATGGACAAGGATTGGAAGTAGTTCCAATCCTTACATTTCATCTGTCTATTTAAAAAGGAAACTGAATATTTTGTCAAACACCTCCCCACCCGCACAATGCGTGCACACATTTGATCAATTACAGTTTGTAGTGTTGATCCTTCCAATTGCTTCTACCTGGTGTATCCTGTAGGATTCAGCAGAGGCGGAGACTATCTTCTCAAGTTCCTGTTCTCACCGCTCAGATGATTTTGGTCTTCACCCAGAGTTTCAGACCCCCAGTGGGTCTCAGTAAAGACTGTTCCACCACTCCTTGTGCAGGGCTAGACACAGCTATTGTGGGGCAGGGTGTTGTGATGGGATATAGACGTGCTTAATAGAAACCGAAAGAACTGTGGATGCTGTAAATCAGGAACAAAAACAAAGCTGCTGAAAAAGCTCAGCAGGTCTGGCAGCATCTGTGAAGGAAAACACAGAGTTAACGTTTCAGGTCCGGTGACCCTTCCTCAGAACTGATAGTGGCTGGGAAAACGTCAGTTTATATGCAGAAAATAGAGAGGTGGGTGGGGTAGGGAGTAAACGATAGGATACAGCCCAAAGAGAGAGGAAGATAGCTGGATAGACAAAGGAGTTGCTAACTATCAGGCTGGGAGGGTGAGTAGTTGTTAATGGGGACTGTTACTGACTAACAGGGGGTGTGTAATGGCAGGCTATGTGGTAACAAGGTCTGGTGTGTGGGATAGGGGGCTGGGACATGGGAGAGTTTAGGCCCTAAAATTATCGAGTCCAGAGGGCTGTAGCGTCCCCAAGCGGAAATTTTTGTTCCTCCAGCTTGCGTTGGGCTTCGCTGGAACACTGCAGCAAGCCAGAGACATAGATGTTGGCCAGGGAGCAGGGTGGTGCGTTAAAGTGGGAGGCAACAGGTAGTTCAGGGTTTTTTTTGCGAGCAGAACGTAGATGTACTGTGAAGCGGTCGCCAAGACTACGCTTCGTGCTTTGTCAGGTACTCCCTCGGTTTGGAGGTGAAAATAGTGAGAAGGGGGAGAGTTTTGTACAGAATTAACACTTCCTCGTCCCCCTCCTGTAGCAGCATCTCATCATAGCCCAAACTCTACCACAGATCTGTTTGGTGGAATTCAGTGTCGTTTTATAAGCCCACGGATGCAAGATCTGTCACTCTGTTTAAGGCAGCAGCAATCTCCTGTAGTCATGGCTTGCACGGACCCATTGAAGTACCATGCTTCAAGCTTCATGAGGTAGCCATAATCTCTATGACATACAGACTCTGGAACCTCCTCTGACCCTATGCACTCTCTGCACTCCTCCAATTCGCTTTTCTATGTTCCCTTTTCGACCCACCTCCTGATTGGAGCTGCCGATGATTTGCAATTCCCTCCCTAAAACTCTCTGTCCTCCTGTAAGGTGTATCTTAAAATCGATCTCTTTAATCAACGTTTCGATCGTCTGTGAAGCACCTTAGTGGATTTGACAACGTGAAAGATTCCATAGAATGCAATTAGTTGTTGTTAATGCCGTGTATTAGGAGAAGCATGAATGACACATTCCTTCCCCGCCTCAGAATGAACGCTCACGCCTCGAGATAACGAACGACAGCAAAAAAAAGCTGCGTATGCTCCAGCTCGTTTTTGCGCCCGAGTGATTGATGTCAGCACGGGACCAATAGGAGGTAAGAGGGCGGCCGGAGGACCGGACATCGAATCAGACTTTCCAACCAATCAGTGAACGAGGGGCTGGACTAAAGAAGGGTCTAGGCCCGAAACGTCAGCCTTTCTGCTCCTACGATGCTGCTTGGCCTGCTGTGTTCATCCAGCTCTGCACCTTGTTGTCATGTGATCGTCCTCGCGCGCAGTGCTGTATCGTTGTGACCAAGATTTGGGAGTGTGTGGAAAGTGCAGGGCACGGTAAAGAAATATACAGCAGAAAGCAGGAGGGAAATGGTGCTAGTATGAACTGATAGGTTTCACAAAAACTTGGTGCATGTCGGAAAGCACAAATTTAAAACTCCCAGTCCCGTGTTTGCAGCAAACGGGAAAATATCTCCGATAGCGATATGCCCGGTGTCCGCCGCCATCTTTATTGGGGGCAATGATCCGCGGGACACATGCGCGGCAGCCAATTTCGTGGTTGTTGAGCGGGGAGGGGGGCGAGCATCAACAGGACGCATGCGCAGCGTTCCCCGCTAGCCGTGGATTTACGCATACCAAATTTAAACCAAGAGAAATGTTTGTTTCTTTTGGATTTCTTAACAGCTAACACTGGTCTGATTCACCACTGTACTTTCTGATTACATCTTTGCGAATATCTAACTTCCTCAGTCTCTAATAATGTGTATATTAGCTCTGTTTAGTAATTTACTATTACTTCCACAGACCTTTTGTAAACGAGTTTTCCACTGTTGCCAACCCCTGACCACGTACGCTGTCTTTCCAGATTCATTTTCCCCACAGTGTCTTTCACAGTCTGGAATTCTTTTTCCAATGAGAGTCCATTTCCCTTCAGTTTCTGACTATAAAATTCTGAACCATTTTCATTCCCTGCAATTCATTTTGCACTCCCTGAAACATGACATCTGTTTCTTCCTCCAGCGATACCATTGCCAAAGCCTTGTTGCCTGTGGAAAAGGTGATGTTTGACCTTCTTGTACTGCTGCAGTTCGTGCGGTAAAGGTGCTCCCACAATGCGGTTAGGTAAGAAGTTACAGATCATTCACTCAACTATAGTGAAGTGTTGATGATATATGTCCAAATCAGCAAGTTTATATTTTCATTATGTTTATCATTTCACAAAAATATTATCAAGAAACTTTTGACATAAGGCCACAGATGTAAATATTAGGTCAGGTGACCAAAAACATTACCAAACAAGCAGGTTTTCAAGAATATCTTACATGAGAAAAGCAGAACTGAGAGGTTTGGGGTGGGAATTCCAGGCAGAGTTGCCTTGGCAACTGTAGAAATAGCCACCAATGGTGAAGCAATGAATAAATGCATTGCTGGAGTCTGAAACTAAATGAGTTGCCAAGGTCTCAAAAGTTACGTGGTGCAGGATATAGGAATGGTCACAGCCAGGAGTTAAAACAAGTGAGAATTTTAAAAGGATTTTTCTTATAAATAGGAGCCTTTGTAATTCAGGAAGCACAGCTGTGATGGGTGAACAGGTTTTGGTACAAGTGAGCACGTGGGCAGCAGAGTTTCAGATATCTTTTGAGATTACAAGGAGGTAAAAAGTGGGAGGCTAGCCAGGAGTGTGTTTGGATAATTAAGTCTAGAGGTTACACAAGAATGGATGAGAATTTCAGTTAATGAGCTGAGGCTGGCGTGGAGTCGGGTGATGTTACTGAAGTGGAAATACATGTACCTTGTGCAGGACTGAGCTGTCACTTTCACCTCACATCTGGAATTCTTCATTGTCAATTTGTGAATTGAGTCTGTAACAAGGTCAGGAGCTGAGTAGTCCTGGCAGAACGCAAACTGAGCCCTCCTGTTTCTCAGGTGCCAGGAGGTGACATCGTCCAAAAGCCCCATGTTAGATTTCACTTGTACACTGAATTGCCCAGCTCGAGCTCACCACTGTTACTCAATTATCAAACTGTTCATCACGCTTCCAGTACTGGATGACTAAAAATTTCCTCCTGTGAAATGTTAGGATGGTTAAAACTATGGCCTTCATTTGCTGTTACAAACTACTTCCCCTCACAAAGTCCGTCCGTATCACTGGGAACTATGAGACTGAACCACACTCTTCACAATGTTACTCTCATATCCGACCCCAAGGTGAAGCTTCTGACCACACATCTACTCAATTACAAACACCAGAAATTTCAATCTCTAAAATGTTGCTTGTCTCTGCCTCACCCCAGCTCATTTGCTATTGAAACCCTCGTTCATGTCTGTGTTGCCTTAAACGTGACCATTCCAAATCTAATCTCAATACCCTGACTGTTCAAGAATCTGGTCCTACACTCTCCCATGATGGAAAACATCCCCTCAGCGTTTACCCTGTCAAAGCCCTTAATCCTATATGTTTCAAATAGGTCACCTCTCACTCTTCCAAAATCCAGTGAGTAGAGTCCCAACCTATTTAGCCTTTGCTTAGAAAGTAATGCCTGAAAACCAGGGATCATCCTAGTGAATCTTCTCTGAAATGCCTCCAATGAAGCGAAATGTTTCCTTAAATAACTGGACCAAAACTGCTCACATTACTTCAAATGTGGCCTCACCAGTGCTTTGTACAGTTGCAGTGAGACTTCCCTACTCTTATTCTACAAACACCTTGAAAAAGGGACAACATTCCATTATTCTTCCTGATTACCTTTCGCAACTCTGTGCTAACTTTCTGTATTTCCTGCAAAATTACCCCTATCCCTTTGTCCCTCGGTCTTTAAACTCTTTATTGGGCACATTGCGATCGTTGTCTTTGTCGGGTGGGCTCTTTGGAATGACTGGGAGGAGCTAGCTGCTATTGTTCAGAATGGAGACAACTTGTCCATTGAGCTGCATTAGCCTTTCCAACTCGATATCTTATTGATGAGGCAGAGCGGCAGCACAGAAGGAAAGAAAAGGAAGCAAATCCTGCTCTCTGCATCTTACTGACTCTTGAAACTTTCTGTCCCATGTATCAGATCTGCTGCTGTGTTCAATCACATGAAGTCCCAAGGCAGAAATTCACAGAAACCCACATAGTTTTCCCCCCGAATTGATTGCTTACCTCTTGTGGAGGTCAATGTGCAGCAGGAAGAATGCACAGTCATCCTGGGCCAAGAGGAGAGATGTTGTGAATTTCTACCCTGGACTGACGGTGATGGATTTTATGAACTTGTATTACAGGATATTTCAAATGGACTTTCAGATGGGAATCTCAATAATTGTAACACCAAACTCTGACAGAATTATTCAATTCATCAGGACCTGAATATTTACATTGTGTGTGACTATTGTGTTCCTACTCATTCCCACTTGCTGTGTAAAATTTCTCCCTTAAATCACCCCACTTTCTCAATAGATCTTCCCCAAAATTTTCAATTTGTGTCCGTAATCCTTTTTATGATCAGTTGATAAGTGTACGTTTTATCATCCTAATTTTTATCTTTTGTAAACACCTCTATCAAAGCTCCCCTCGCAATCCTTTGTTACAAGGAGAACAATCTGTTTCCCCAAACACCCGATTTCCCCAATGGCTGTTTGCTGTCTATAAGGCACTCATCAGGATTGTGTTGGAACATTTTCTACTTAACTGCGTCAGTGCAGCCCCTAATAATATTAAAGAAAGTGAACATCCTCCAGAAAAAGCACTGTATCAGAGTGGTGTCCCATCCATCCCATCCACCACATCCCCCTACACCACCGAGGCACAGTGGCATCACTGCAAAAGGTAAGTCATCATTGTCCTACCTGACCGTAGGGCTGCGCTCTCATTAGCGAGTGATATCTGGTGGTGATTTAACCTGAAGATTACCACACCCCAGGCGAGGGGAGAGGTTGAGAAGGGAGTCCATCTATTGTAGATGGATATTCTCAATGTGTATCAGCTACGCCCAGGTTACATGAAATATTAATGTAAAAAACAACCCTAACCATGCAACTAAAATCCCTCTTCCTACAAACTATTCTGTTAAATCTCCTCTGCCCCCTCTCAGGGACCCTCCCATTCTTCACAATGTGTGGTGATTTCTCGTTTGCACAGACTCAGCTAGTCTCTGTTCCTGTGTGTGATGTCATCATGCTGTGTCAATCTCACTGAACCTCACTGTCTGTAAGGGTCGTAGATGCAGAAATCCTCATAACATTTAAGACATATTCAGATGCAAACTTGTGATGCCAAAGCAGAGAACTCTATGGGCCAAGTGCTGAAAATTAGATTTGAATAGTTAGGTGGTCGTTTTTAACTGAAACAGACTTGATGGTCCACAGAGCTTTTTTCTGTACTGTAGACCTCCGAGACATGAAGCCAGTTGATAAAAGGAGATATTAGAATAGATGACTCATGATTGGTCGATGTTTTGGGAGGAAAGTGAGGTGCAGAGATGGAGCGGTCTGGGAGGAAATTCTGGAGCTGGAAGCCCAGGAAATTGAAAGTGCCACCGTCAAGTGAAGAAATAAAATGAGGTGTCATCAGAAGGATGGTATAAGAGGAAAGCACACATCGTAGAGATGAGAGAGGCTGGAGGTTGTTTGAGACAGGGAGGGCTCTGAGGCTGGTGAAGATTACAAAAGTAGGGGCAAGTGTGAGGTTGGAGGAGGTTACAGAAATAGTGAGGATTGTGAGACTGGAGGAGATTTCAGAAAAAGGAATGTTTGTGAGGGTAAAGACAATTACAGAGTTAGGGAGGGTTTTAAGGGCTGGAGGAATTTGCAGAGACAGTGAGAGTTCTGAGGCTAGGGGAGGATTCCACTGGTAGGCTGGTAGTGAGGCTGGAGGGGGATTCCCGCGAGAGGGCAGGTGGTGAGGTGCGAGGGCGGATTATCGTCCAAACAGCACAGTGGTGCACTTACAGCATGTAGACTGCTGCAGTTATAGAGGTAGTGCATGACCATTTTCTCTAAGTCAAATAAAGATGGACAATCAATCTTAGTCTGGGCAGCATAGACCACACCCCATGTACAAATTAAAATTATGGTGGGTTTCTGGTTTGGAGAGAACCACCAGAAGATCACATAATTCTCCTTGGGGCTGAATAGGTTACGCAATGATTTAGCCAAGTTGTAGATTTGTTTCCAGGATATTAGTTTGCAAAGAGGGAGAGAAATTATTAACATTGTGACAATGTTTCGTGGTATAATGTGTAGTGAAGGTCATCTAAGTTGATAATGCGATCTTGATCAATTGGGTCAATGGATTGAGGAGTGGCAGATGGAGTTCAATTTGGATAAATGCGAGGTATTGCATTTTGGTAAGATAAACAAGGATAGGACTTATACAATTGATGGTTGGGCCCTAGGTAATATTGTAAAACAGAGGTGCAGAGGTTCAGGTACATAATTCTTTGAAATTTATGTCAACAGGTAGACAAGGTGGTTAATAAGTTGTTTAGCACGTTTGCCTTCATTGCTCAGACTTTTGAGTATAGGAGTTGGGATGTCATGTTGAGGTTGTGCAGGATGTTGGTGAGGCCTCATTTGAAGTAATATGTGCAGTTCCGGTTGCCCTGTTACAGAAAGGATATTATTAAACTGGAGGAGGTTCAGAGAAGATTTGCTGGGATGTTGCCAGGAATGGAGGGCTTGATTATCAAAATAGACTGCACAAACTAGGACTTTTTCCACTGGAGCATAGGAGATTAAAGGGTGACCTTATAGAGGTTTATAAAATCATGAGGGGCATAGATTATGTGAATATCAAGGGTCTTTTCCCCAGGTTGGGGGATTGCAAGACTAGGGGGCATATTTATACAGTGAGATGAGAAAGATTTTAAAAAAGACTTGAGGGGCACCTTACTTTTACTCAGTGGCTCATGTGTGGAACGAATTTCCAGAAGAGGAGGTGGATGCAGGTACAGTCACATCATTTTATAAGACATTTATGTAAGTACATGAATAGGAAACTCCAAGTTCTAAATTGGAGTCAGGCCAACTTTGACAGTACGAGGTGAGAACTTTCAAAAGTTAATTGAGAGAGGCAATTCGCAGGTAAAGGGATGGTTGGAAAGTTGCCTTCAAAAATGCGATAGGAGAGTCCAGAGACAGTATGTTTCTGTACATGTGAAGGACAAGGCTGGTAAGTGTAGGGAATACTGGATATCTAGAGAAATTGAGGCTCCAGTCAAGAAAAAGAAGGCAGCACATGTCAGGTATAGACAGCAGGAATTGAGTCAATCCTTTGAGGAGTATAAGGGCAGTCGGAGTACACTCGAGGGAAATCAGCAGGGCACAAAGAAGACTTGAGATATCATTGGCAAATAGGGTTAAGGAGAATCCAAAGAGATCCTTAAACTGCATGAAGCACAAAACAGCAATTAGGGAGAAAACGGCCCCTTAAAGATCAACAAGGCCATCTATGTATGGAACTGCAGGAGATGGGTGAGATAGTAAACACGTATTTCGCATTAGTATTTACTGCGGAGAAGAATATGGAAGCGAGAGAACTTGGAGATATAAATAATGATGTCACGAAAAGTGTACATGTTGCAAAGGAGTAGGTGCTGGATATCTTAAAACGCATAAAAATGGCTAAGTCTCTGGCACCTGATCAGGTGTTATCCACAAACTCTGGGGGAAGCTAGGGAAATAATTGCTGGGCCCCTTGCTGAGGTATTTGTATCATTGATAGCACTGGTGAGGCGCCAGAAGACTGCATGGCTGATGTGGTGCCATTCTTTAAGAAAGATGGTAAGGAAAAGCCAGGGAACTATAGACCAGTGAGCCTGATGTCAGTATTGGTGAATTGTTGGAGGGGATTCTGAGGGACAGGATTTGGATGTATTTGTAAAAGCAAGGACTGATTAGGGATAGTCAACATTGGTTTGTGAGTGGGCGATCATGTCTCATAACTTGATTGAGTTTTTTGAAGAAGTGACAAAGAAGATTGATGAAGGCAAAGCAGTGGACATTGTCTGTATGGACTTCAGCAAGGCATTACCAAAGCTCCACATGATAGACTGTTTAGCAAGATTAGATCAAATGGAATCCAGGGAGAGTTAGCTATTTGAAACAAAATTGGCTTCAAGGTAGGAGACAGGATCATGGTGGGGGGTTGTTTTTTTTCAGTCTGGAGGACTGTGAACAGCAGTGTGCTGCAAGGATCGGTGCTGGGTCCACTGCTTTTTGTCATTGATATAAATCATTTGGAATGAATATTGGAGGAATGGTTAGTAAGTTTGCAGATGACACTAAAATTGTTGGTGTAGTAGGCAGCAAAGAAGATTACGTTCCCATTGTACTTGGAGGTAATCAGATGGGTCAATGGGCCGAGGATGACAGAAATAAGTTTAGTTTAGATAAATGTGAGATATTGCATTTTGGTGATGAAAATCAGGGCAGGACTTAAACACTTAATGATGAGGCCCTGGGGACTGTTATGCAACAGAGACTCCTTGGGGTGCAGGTGCACAGTTCCTTGAAGGTGGATTGCAGGTACAGAAGGTAGTGAAGATGATGTTTGCTATGCTTGCATTTATTGGTCAGTGCGTTGAGTATAGGAGTTGGGAGGTCATGTGAGAGGCTGAACAAGACATTGATTATGCCGCTTTTGGAATACTGTGCTCGGTTCTGGTCTCCCTGCTATAGGAACGATGCTGTTAAACTTGGCAGGGTGCAGAAAAGATTTACAAGGATGTTGCAAGAGTTGGAAGTTTTGAGCTGTAGGGAGAGGCTGAATACGCTGGGGCTATTTTCCCTGGAGCATTGAAGACTGAGAGGTGACCTTGTAGAGGTTAATAAAATTATGGTGGTCATAGGGTGAATAGCCAAGGTTGTTTTCCCAGGGTAGGGGAGACTAGAACTAAACACATTGGTTTAAGCTGAGAGGGAAAGTTTTAAAAGGGAAAGCGGGTGGTGCCTGTGTAGAATGAGCTGCCAGAGGAACTGGTGGAAGCTGGTACAATCACAACATTTAAAAGACATCTGGATGGGTACGTGAATAGGAAGAGTTTAGAGGAATCTGGGTCAAATGCTTGCAAATGGGATTAGATTAATTTAGGATATCTGGTCAGCATGGACAACTGAGACCAAAGGGATTGTTTCGTGCTGTGCAACTGACTAAGCATTTTTTGTTTTCATTTCAGATTTCCACAATTTTACTTCTGCACTATTCTTAGTCTTTCAGAGGGATCGAAAGATTGAGTTACAGATCTATACAATGCCTGTCCTTCCTGGCTCTTCCACCTCTCTCTTTCGGTAGTTTTGTGCAAACACTGACTGGATCCCTTACCTGGAGGATATTTACGAATGAATTTGTTCTAATGATAATCCAGCATATTCCCCAAGTGTCGCTCCACAAATGTTCAGAGAATTTCTCTC